TGACCTAAGATCACCATGTCAACAAGACCATGGCACCAAGTGCCCCATCCAGTCTTTTCTTAAACACCTCCAGACAGTGGCTCCACCATCTCCCTGGGCAGCCCATTCCAGTGTCCCATCACCTTTTCTGTAAAGAATTTCTTCCTAATGTTCAAACTAAATCTCCCCATATGAAGCTTAAAAGTATGTCCTCTTGTCCTACTACTAGTTACCAGGGAGAAGAGGCCCACCTAGCTACCACCTCCTTTCAGGTAGCTGTAGTGAGTGACAATAAAAATTATCTATAATATCTTCTTTTTCCTTTCAGTGGTAGCTGCAATAAATGGTATCTTAAGAAGTATCTTAGAGACTGTGTCTTTCTTGACACAGATCATAAATACTAACCCTTAGTGCCTTGCAGCAGTGCACTACACCTTTTCAGTGACTGCAGAGATCTGTAGTCTCCTCAATTCTCCTCCTCTTCCTTCCTGAAAATTAGTCACTTTTTCAAATCATCAGGAACCTTCTCCAGGTGGTTCCTGACTTTTCTTTAGTCTTCATTTTGCTGTTGTACCTAAAGAAACTTTTCTTACTGTCCTTCACATCCCTTGTCAATTTTCCCTCCAGCACAATTTTTGCTTTTCAGATTCCATACCTGCATGCATGGTGAAAGCTTCTGTTCTCCTGCCTGGTGGACTCTCCTTGCTTTCAACTTTTGTACACTTGCTTTTTGCATCTGAGCTTGGACAGGATGAAGGCACCTTTATGATTATAAAGAGAGACATGTTGCTTCCACAGAAAGATATGTGGCATGTATGGAAGCAAAGCAAAAGCTTTGCATGTACGTGAGGCTAAAATTCATTCAACCACAGTGAGGATGTTTTTCAAGTTCTGAGTCAAAGACTCTCATCCAACCCATTGCTGGCCTGTGGGATGTGATCATTGAAAATTATGCCATGAAGGTCACATCAACCTATGTCAGGGAGAGCAGTAAGAAATCCATGGGGGAGCAGTAAGAAATCATAATCTGTACAATGAAGTGTAAGCCTGTATCAGGTTCAAATTAATAAAGGGATGTAAGACATCATACAGGATGTAATAATGACAATTAAGAGCAATGTCAAATGCCCTGTCACAGTCTGTCAGAGATCAAGGCAGCACTGCAGGCAACAGTGCACATCTCCAATGGCATGGAGTTGTAGCAGAAAGGTGCCAGGTGGGCTGTGGGCACCAGTCTGAAGGAACATGACTGGATATTTCATTTGCTTCGTACTGGGGAAAAAACAGAACCACAGAACAATGAAGAGAGAAACCAGCATTGATAGCTGCAGCACCTAGGTCTGCAATAGTAACAAGTTAAACAGTCAGCTGCAATCGGTAAATCTCTCCGTGACTGATTGCCTCAGTCCCTGATTGAAATCCAGCTTCTAGAGTTACAATGTGGAATGAAGACAAACACAAAACAATTAATATGCTCCTTTCTATTGGCAAAAGAGCAGGGACAAGGACAGAACACAATCCAGAGTTCTGAGTAGGTTTTTGTGCTTGGATGAGAGGCCTTGTTCTGCGAGCTGACCGGGACTTCATATCCTTTTGGATAAGAAGTACCTTTTACACTGTCAGTTGTCCAAAGCTCAGGTACTCAAGAGTCTGTTGGTTTAGGGACAGCTCCACAATGAAATGCCCAGCAGAGGAAAGGGCAACCAAGCCTTAGCTGACCTCTTTCTTGGGACAAGCATTGTCAACCAAGGATGTGTGACTGAGCTGTTTGTACTGCTTTGCACAGCTGTGCTGGGCAGGCCAATCCATTGCTACTTGTCCCAAGTAGTCTTCCAAGTGCAGGAAGGTTTGCTGACTCTAGACCTCATGTCAAGCAGACTGTACAAGACATTTTAGTGTTGATGCTATGCTGATGGTCTGCTCTGATCCAGTTCTTCATTTGCTCATGGGTATATTCTGTTGCTTAAAACTGGCCTTGCATTAACTCCCAGTCTGAGCACAGAAAACTACACCAGATTCCTCATAAAGAACACAGCCCACCTTTATCAAATGTTACCACAGCAGAGCTTATTTTCCCCCGTGTATTTACTTATTGTGGCTGTGTTAAGAACCTGAAACTCCAATTCTTGGAGAGAAAACATGATTTTTGTATAACTCATGGAAAAATGCTCTGCATGAAATGCATACAAAGCTGTTCTGAAGATCTGGAACCAGGACACTTCACAGAAGTCAAACTCACCAGATATAAAAAAGCACTGGGATAATTTTTATTCTACTCTTTCAGTGTGATGGTGTGGGGAAAAAAAAAAAAAAAGCAATCACTAACAAAAGTGCAGCTGCTTCCTGAATATGTTTGTAGGTCCTAAAATTCAGGCCATACATGATGAGCTGGACTTGAGATACAGGTCTGGACACTTCTGTAATTCATGTATGATCGACCAGACTAAGAGAATGGGAATTATGGTTCTTTAGCAGAGTCTTGAAGGACATTTGAAAGGCATATTTTACTGTTTTAAACACACTGACCAACTCTTACATGCAGCAGTGGAAGATCAGTGTGATGGAAGTAGAACTAAACCCTTGTGGACACAAAGTCGCCCTGAACAAAAAAGGGATAAAGAGTGAAAATAGTGGCATAAATCTGAGATGAATTATAAACAATGTGAGAAAACAGATTACTAAGTGAAGACACACCGGTTCAAAGAATGATGGAGTATCTCAAGTTGGAAGGGAACTATGAGGATCATTGAGTTCAGCTCTGATCCTTGCAAGACTACCTACAAATAAACCATATGACTAAGAGCATTGTCCAGACACTCACTGAACTCTTACACATTGGATTCTGTAACCACTTCCCTGGGGGGCCTGTTTCAGGGTGTGATTGACCACCTTCTGGATGAAGAACCTTTTCCCAGTGTCCAATCTGAGCTTCCCTTGATGCAGCTTCATTCCATATCCTTGTGGCCCATCACAGGTCACCAGAGAAAGGAGAGCAACACCTCCCCATTCACTGCACCCACTGATGAAGTTTTAGGCTGAGATAAGATCACCCCTCAGTCTTCTCTTCTTGTCCTTGAAGCCTTTCACCATCTTTGTCACTCTCCTGTGTACACACTCTTATAGCGTGATGTCCTTCTTACACTGAGATGCCCAAAGCTGCATACAGCACTCGAGGTGAGGCCACATCAGTGTAGAGTGGGAAAAATCATAGAATCGTAGAATAGTTTGGGTTTCAAGAGACATTAGAGATGCTCCCTGCCTTTGGCAGGGTCAATCACCTCCCTCAACCAGCTGGTGATGCTGAACCTGATGCACTCTAGTAGGTGGCTGCTCCTTTTGGCTACCAGGACACACTGTCGACTCATATTCAACTTTCCATTGACCCAAACTCCCAGATTTCTTTATGTAGGGCTGTTTTTAACCTCTCATCCCCCAGTCTGTACTTGCAATGAGGATCACCCCATCACAGACAGAGAATCTTGCACTTGTCCTTGTTAAATTTCATATATTTAGTGACTGCTGACCTCTTCAGTCTGTCCAGATCTCATTTCTAAAACCCTTGAGGGAGTCCACAGCTCCTCCTAGTTCAGCATAGCTGGCATGTGCCCATTTTGGCATGTTCACTTCAGCTGTTTCATCATCATCTCAGAAAGATGACTGATAATCATTATTTTGTGGGCACAAAGCTTAAAAAGGAAAGCAATGTGTGATACATGCCCTGTGACATGGGGTCCAGGGGCACCTCCCACTATTTAATTATATGGCAGATTTTCTTCTGGCTACCTGTCACCAGAAAGCACTTCTGCTTCTCCTGATGTCCATGTTACCACCTCACCTCACCTCCTGAGCTACATGCTGACAGACAACAACTCATCAAGAGGAATGTAGATTTATATGACACACTTATTTTCACAAGAGGAACCAGACTGAGGCAAAGAACACTGCCTGAACTTTTGACAGCAATACGGAAGGCTACTCTTCTTAACAGAGATCACAATATGTCCCATATGTTCGAAGGAATTATATCATACACACTTTGGGATCCCCCTCCTGTCTTGCCCCCCTTCCCTTCCTCCTTTAGAAATCACACAGTGCTCTCTGCAGAGGTCAGAATGGCTTCTTAACTGTTTGCCCATTCTATTATTTCAACACAGAACAATACCCTTTATAGGTGAAATGCTTTTATAACTGAAATATTTTCTATTGTATATTATGATTGTCCCACAGACCATGAACACTCATCTAGCTGGATTTCACAGTTCCTCCATCATCTATCAGGCCATTAAGTTACTCATGGAAGATTTGAGATACAAGGCAAGTGCATGCACAAATATATTTGGAACTGTTTTTTACTTTGTCTACAGTTATGTTTTGCTGTTAACCCCTGAGAATAAAATGCATTGCTAAAAAACTACACTCATAGAAAGATAAATATTCCAGCTTCTCAAAGAAAATGTTCCTGTTTTTGACTTTCATCTCAATTGGTTTCGTCACATGCATCCTACTTTATTTTCCCAATTATTTTAGAAGAGAAAAAGGCTAAGTCCTGTTCTTCCTGCTCTTCTGTCTAGCATGGCTGCATTTTGTACATTCAGAAAGGATTAACTGAAAGAAGAGTTCTGGTCCATTACTACAACCATAATAACAAATTAACTAATTATTGATGTATTGACTAATAACTGCTAATTATGTGTGACATCACTAAGGTTTTCACATTTTTTGTTTTTACTGCCATCCCAGTATCTTGCTGCAAACGAGGCATTATTTCACAGCCTTTTCTCCAGCCTAATAGTCCTGATGTACTGGTGGAAAGCACTGTCATACAGAATAAAATATTAATATTTGTTCTCCCTTCAATCAAACCCAAACCCATTGAAACAAAAAACTGACCTAATACCATTAATTTATTTTTATGGTGTCAAAAGTCAACCTTCTGAAGGAAAGCAATGGGTGGGTCACAACTCAGACTGTATAAATTCCCAAGGGCTCAGCCAGGATACCCACATACAGCTGGAAAGCTGTATTGTCTTTGGTACTGAAGCTTGAAGGTAAGCATTTCTCTAGGAAAATTTACCTTCTCACTGTGTTATTTCTTGTTTCTGACTAAACTTTAAAAGAGAGAAATTATTGTCTTGTTTGATATTTTTCAGGACAGAATATTTACATTATATTTTCTACAAATCTCACCAGTGTATATGCATTCTACACTACTGTTTTATGTGTAAAATCTGAATATCTGTGGTTTTGGGGAGATTTTAAAAGTTATTCTCTGTGCTTAAAATATTATTTTGTGTAAAAACATGATTTATTTCAGAGCATCTTTTCTTCCAATTCAGTATCTTTTAAGGTTGATTTTGACAGACAAGTAATAAATTTCCTTGCTTGACCTCTGGTTTAAAAGAGTGCATTAAGAGCAGAACTGTGGAATTTAGTGAATTTGCTAAGTTTATTTTAGGGTGAAATTTCTTTAAGAGTTGCATTCCCGAAAAATACAGTTGGTGAACACAAGACAAAATAAAAAGGTATATGGGTGGACAGATGCAAAATTTTAAAATAACTTACCAATGGGAACACGTATAGGGAAAGTAAAGTGAGAGAAATATGTATGTGTCTGTATGTGTATATCCAAGAGGCCAGTCACAAAACACTTCATTAGAGTTTAACACTGGAAACACAAACTTGAGATCCTAGCATTTAGCTCCTACATAACGGGATGGATTTTGAAAAAACAATTTAATTTCTCAGACAGGTATAGTCTGAGAAAACACAGCACATTTAAGCAAAGCAAGGTATATCTGAAAGCACAATACAATGAAGCATGAATTTTGTTCATTAGTCTTGCTTCTAGATTAGGTGACTTTTGACAAATTATATTGCCTTATATATCAGAATTATAATTAAATTGTCTATGCTTTCATTACTAAAACAAGTCTAAGCAAGAGGCCTTTGAAGATCTACTGACAGTGAGTACTGTGCAACAAATAGATACTTTACTACACTTACTTATTCTTAGAAAATAAAAATAGCTTCTGCTTTTACCTGTATATGTTCAGGCCTAGAACAAACAGAAATGCAATTTGTGCTTGAATTTTCAGCTTTGCAAGTATATGAAAGAGATAATATGTTCTTATTTTCATCAAGCTACTACAAAGTACTAAGGAATTGTAGCCTTCAGTGAATGAAAGTAAGTACAGGCAATTATTGTTTGACTGCTTTGAAAAGGTAAACAGAAATCACATACAGATTCCAGAGCTCTGAGGAACTATTCCAAAAAGGTAAATGTACAGAAATGCAGAAGGAAACCGATTTGTGAAAACAGTTTCTAACATGCATGAGAGGTGAGCATAGCAATAGACGTGTTAACACAGAATGATTTCCAAATTACTCGTTCATATTTTATAGCCTGAAAACTCTTATTAAAGTGCATGTGCTGTGTGTGTATGCTATTCTCATCATTGTTATTGTACTTCTGCTCTTTGCTCTAGGCAATACTGTTGCACAATGGGCTCCATCGGTCCAGTGAGCACAGAAGTTTGCTGTGACATATTCAGGGAACTGAGAAGCCAGAGTGTCCAGGAGAATGTCTGCTACTCCCCTCTGCTCATCATTTCAACCCTCTCCATGGTCTACATAGGTGCAAAAGATAACACCAAGGCTCAGATAGAGAAGGTGAGACTATATTTAGTATTTAAACCCTCCTGCTGCTCAACAGAGCCACAGCCCTTAATTATATGATAATGCCCCTCAGAGGCTAAAAATGTGGATCCAGAGTTACTGAAAGATGGATCCAAAGTTATCAAAAGCTGTGGCCACCTGAAACTCCTGCAGTGTTAAATAAATACATCAGCCTGAAATCTTGAGACTGGATTTACATTTTCTCATAGTTTAGCAGCAGAATTCTCAAAGACAAAAGTATATTCTAGTGACTCTTTTTTTGGAATAGGAAAAGGAGACAAAATGTATAGGGAAAGAGACAAAATCTATCCCCAGACTGCAAAGTGTTTCATGTGTTTCCTACAACTCTCAATATCTTCATCAAGAGAGGCTGGCTCGTTACCCATGAGAAGGCTGGTATTACTGGTAGCACACACTGGAGTCAAGTCCTACATGTTCAATAGAAAAAAGGATCATCTAAGCAGATAACAGTAGGCATGGCTATTCAGAGATGGTACAGATAGATTGCACTTTTTGAGTCATTCTCAATCAGTAGGTTTGCTTCAAATATTATGTGTTAATCTCAGTTGCATAACCTTTTTCTTGTCATACCAGTTATTTCAACTTCTGTTGTTCTTAATTACAGGCTATCCACTTTGATAAAATCCCAGGATTTGGAGAGAGTGCTGAATCTCAGGTACAGAAACAATTTCATCCCTTCTCTCTATCAGTTTCTCCTGGGAGCAAAATCTATCAGATAAAGCAGTCTTGTAGCAGTTCCAACCCTACTCTAATGCGCAGCTAGTGCTCCTCATCCAGCATTTGGGGGTACACTTCATTCATAAGAATGAATAGAGAAGGCGGCTAACAGAGAATTCAGAGCAAGCATAAAATGAAACCCATCAAGATAACATTGGGCCAATAGGGGGAAATTATAGATATTTGTAGGATTAGGTAAAATAGCTGAGTGCTGGTTGTTAAACAGGACTGGTTGGGAACTGATCTGCTGAAGCTAGATTACTGTAGCAGGTAATTAAAAGCCCCCCCCCAAACAGTATGAGGAAATTACAGTAGAAAACCAGCATTGAATTGTACATATTGCAAAATTACTACATCAGGATGAAAAGAACAATTTTATAAGCATTATATAATTATAAAAGCATCTAAACTACTCTACTCCTTTCATATAGTATGTAATACCTACTCATCATTAAAACTAGGATAACATCATCTGTATTTTTATTTGTATTCATGTCAATCAGTGCGGCACATCTGTGAGCATCCACAATTCACTTAAGGACATCTTTACCCAAATCACCAAACCAAGTGACAATTATTCGATTAGCATTGCCAGAAGAATTTATGCTGAAGAGAAATACCCAATTCTGCCGGTGAGTTGCCCTAAGATAGATCTGAATGTCAAAACCATAACTTTCTGTAATATAAAAAGCACTGTCAGAAGTCTAAGCTCTGCTAAAGAAATTTTCTTCCCTATGGAAAGATTCACTCCAGCACAGCCCTAACCCTTGAAAGTCTTGAGAAAAAAAAATCTGACTAGCCAGAAAGATGTTTGTGCAAAGTACAATAAAGATCCAATCAAGTCAAAGTATAATTAATAAAGGCATTTTTTGTTGGCAAGACCTAACTCCAACCCTTTTCTCACCTTGCAAAACAAACCTGAAAAATAACTTCTGGTTCTTAAAAATATTCCAAGGTTTTCCATTGAACAGAACATTTAATTTCAAAAAATCAAGAAGAATACTATGGCAAAAAAATTTAAAAGTGGGCAAAGAGAAAAACACCCCCATACTTAACTGAAATGAATGTTGGTTTTAGATTAAATTCCATTCTAGGAAATATTTTTTAAAAATGTGGGCGTATACTCTTTCTTTGCAGGAATACATACAATGTGTAAAGGAACTGTATAAGGGAGGTTTGGAATCTATTGACTTTCAAACAGCTGCAGAAAAATCCAGAGAGATCATAAATTCCTGGGTTGAAAGTCAGACAAACGGTAAGAGGAAGCCAACTATCAGCAGAGGTATTTTCCCTTCTGCCACCATGTTTGAACAACATGTGAGAAAATTTAAGTTAGGTGATGAAAAACCAAAACCTCTCCCTCTGCTCCTTCTCCTGGATAATAGATCCATTCCCAGACACAGAACTACCATCTAAGAACTTTTTTTTTGTTCCTCAGATACACCCCTGTTAAAGGATCCTCTATCTGTAGAGGCTTTGTGGTTATGTAATACTTCCAGTCCTGATAAAAGGAATAGCACTAAAATAGCTTTGTACACATTGACAAATTGTTTGACACCAATGTTTCAACTTTTGTTTGAAGCAAAAAATATTAAATATTTGGTTGGGAGACTATCCTGGGATAAAAGGCTCCATTGGTTCTTCCTGTTGTCACAAAATATATTAATTTTGTGCCAAGTAAATCTCTGGATCTCATAGTTCTCACTATAATTCTTTATAGGGAAAGAAACAACAGCCATTGCCAACTGCAGTAAGCAAATCAACCTCAGGACTACAAGAAAATGGCTACAAAATCAAAATAAATGTCCCTGCCCTACACCCTCCTTCCCACAAATTCTTTACCTTCCATTTAATGTTGTAATTGCCAAGTAAGATGCGTTATACACAGATGTGTTATATGTGTTCTTTCTGCCTATGCATTCTTGAAGGGACGATCAAAAATATCCTTCAACCAAGCTCTGTCAGTTCACAAACTGACATGGTCCTGGTCAGTGCCATCTACTTCAAAGGACTGTGGGAGAAAGCATTCAAGGAAGAAGACACCCAAACAGTTCCTTTCAGAATTACTGAGGTATGTGGGCATATATCACTTCAAAGGTGTCATCTTCCGGAATTTATGAAGTTGTTGTACAATCTTCCTGAAAAGAGCAATTATCAGCTTTAACCATAAAGTAGGCATTTCTATACTCTAGGAGTAATCTTAGTGAAAACTGTATTATTTTCTTTGGTTTTGCAGCAAGAAAGCAAACCTGTGCAGATGATGTCTCAGATTGGTACATTCAAAGTGGCAGAGATCCCTTCTGAGAAATGCAGGATCCTGGAGATTCCATATGCCAGTGGGCAGCTGAGCCTGTGGGTGCTGTTGCCTGATGACATCTCTGGCCTGGAGCAGGTATGGCCCTGGCAGCTGGGTTTCAGAAGACTACATGCATGGTGAAATTTAGGTGCTGAAAAACTCTTCACGATAAAGTCATCTTCAATCATTTTCCCAGCCCAGGTCTGAATATTGGCAACATAGCATTGATGCATAAAGGCATGCAGCTGTCTCAGTGGTCTTGCAAAAGTTTGGGCTGAGGATGGATTGCTAAGCAACTGCTTTAGTGGGTTAAATTTTTGTCACTTCAGAACAGATTCTTCTCAGATATGGAGCTGTTACTCCAGCTGCAGCTTCTAAGCTTTTATATCTCAGTTTCTGCATATTGAGGAACTTACTGGGAAGCTCATGTTCATGCATGAAGTAATTATTGAATGTCTTGACAGCCTTCAACATGCTTCCTTCATACCTTCAAAAATTAAACCATCTAAAAATTGAATGAGTACTGGAATGGTTAAAGCAATTTCAGAAAGTAAAACATACATCACATATTACTGTTGATGTGAACAGAATTCAGCCATTAGCAGGAAAGCAGTTTGAATAGGAAAAGTTATGCAATAATTTTGAGTTCACTGAAATGATTGTGCACTAATTCAAAATAACTGATAGCTCATTTATTACTGAAGAAATTTAGCTGTGTTCAAGTGCCTCTAGATACTTCAGGTATTAGTAAAACCATTAACACTTCCTTACTTGGAGGTCTAAAATGTAGCTAGAGCTTACAACTTATAAGCACAGAATGAGTTTTGGAATATATTTCTGAAGAAAAGAAGATAAATAGGCAAAAACTTTAGGAAATTTGCCGAGTAGCCATCTAATTGAGACTATTAATTGGCAATGAGCCTATTAAAGAAATAGGAAGCAGGACAGAGAAGAGAGAGTCATGATTTGCTTTCCTCTTCTAGATACATTAATCCATATACACCCAGAAAACACACCATAATAAGAGCAGCCAGTTTAAGAGGAAAAAATCGACAAATGGTACTGCATTGCTACATAGAATTTGTACTCTCTTCCCAGAGATGTAACTTTTTTGTTTCCTTGCAGCTTGAGACCGCAATCACCTTTGAAAATCTCAAGGAGTGGACCCGTTCTAGTAAGATGGAAGAGAGGAAAATCAAAGTTTATCTCCCCCGCATGAAGATTGAGGAGAAGTATAACCTCACATCCGTCTTAAAATCCTTGGGTATCACCGACCTGTTCAGCTCATCAGCCAATCTCTCTGGCATCTCTGCAGCAGACAGCCTGAAGGCATCTGGAGCATTTCATGAGGCATTTGTGGAGATCTATGAAGCAGGCAGTAAGGAAGCAAGCTCATCAGGAACTGGGATAGATGACACAAGTGTCTCTGAAGAGATTAGGGCTGACCACCCTTTCCTCTTCTTGATCAAGCACAACCCAAGTGACAGCATCTTGTTCTTTGGCAGATGCTTTTCCCCTTAAAGAGAGGAAAGCTGAAAGAGCTTCTGTTCCTCACAGCAAGACCCAAAGTGCTGCAGTATCAAGGGTAAAAAGAAACACAAACTTTCTCTTTTATCCATATTTTCTAAAACCAGAAGGCTTTATTTAATTAAAAAAAAAAAAAATTTGACCCAAAGAAAGCATGAGCATTAACAGAAATGTTCTTGGTGCAATTTAACAATAATAATGCGGAATCATCACACTGAAAAAACACATCACTTTTTTTTGGAAAAAATGCAGTCTTCTAACTGAACCAGTTTCTCTATGGACACATTTTTGTGGTGACTCCTCTGGAAAAAGTCACTCAAAATTTCCTAGATTAAACTACTACCAACCATACCTACTCTGACAAAGCAATTGATTTTTATTTCTACCCCTGATACTGTAAGGCTCTTCCTCACTTTATAAAGATGCGTTATAGGAATCTTATAATTGATATTTCTTCTTAAGCCTTTTTGGATCAATCATGGCAGGTATGGATCAAGTATGGCAGGTTGCTATTGAAATTTTCTCCATGTATCCTATCCCTGTATATAATGGGTCTTGAGGATGTATACTTTTGTTCCTTTAATAGTAATAAAAACTTATTTAAGCAAATGCTTTTCATTTGGAGTATTTTAAACGTATCTGTGACAGGGTAGTCCTGGTTATGTGTGCAAATCTGGGGCTTTGCATGGATGGCAAGTAGAACACGAGTCAGCAGTGCCCTGGCAGCCAGGAGGGCCAAAAGCTGGGGTGTCCTGGGGGGCATCAGGTACAGCATGGCCAGCTGGGCAAGGGAGGGGATTGTCCTGCTCTGCTCTGAGGCAGCCTCACCGCGAGTGCTGGGTGCTGCAATACAAGAACATCACACTCAGAGTGTGTGCAGAGGAGGGGGACCAAAAAGGTGAAAGCTCTCGAGGGCAAAACTTACAAGGAGTGTCTGAGGTCACTTGGCTTTTTCAGCTTAGAGAAGGCTGAGGGGTGACCTCTTCTAAGCCTACAGCTTCCTCACTGGGGGCAGGGGAGGGGGAGGTGCTGCTCTCCTCTGTGTGGTGACCAGCAAGGGCATGAGGAAATAGAATGAGGCTATATCAGGATTGGACATGAGGAAAAATTTCTTCATCTAGAGGGTTGATCACTAGAGCAGGATTTTCCAATGAGGTGGTCATGGTGCCATGCCTGTTAGAATTCAAGGAGCATCAGGACAATGCTATTAGTCATATGGTTCATTTATAAATAGTTCTGTGAGGAGCAGGGAGTTGGACTCAATGATCCTTATGAGTGCCTTCAAACTTTCTATGTTTCTGCGATTTTTCTGTCTGTGTTGATTCATTGATTTCAGAGAGGTGAGGAAGAAGTCTCTCAACTCTGGGCTATGATAGAATATTGAGACCAATTTTCTGCTGGGAAGGGACTTGTGTGACCCATACTCCCTCATAATGCCCCTCAAACTAGTCAGATACAACAATTCCTGCACAAAACATGATTCACCCAGTTTCTCTGAAATAGCAGTTGATAAGCAGTCTGGAAGGCAGCTGGATATGTGCACAATTTACATGCCACTGTGACACAGCGTTACCTCAGAGAACACAGGGGAATAGGAAACAGGAAGGAGTTTTTTACTTATCTTTGTGGTGTGTTTACAAAGCTTTATGGGCTTTTATTCAGAAGCTAAAGAGAATAATCATGCTAGGAAATGGGATGTCTATGGTGAGTTATATAGTTTTTCTCTGGAATTAATCTCTTTGTCACTGAAGCAAGAAAGGAAACAGAACTGTGAGGAACTGGCACAAAGAAGCACCAGGAAAGTGAAACCAGATTTCTGGGGGCATGCAGTTACTGCAAGAAGGTTGCTCTTACCTGATTCCAGTATGCACAGCACAGCACCATAGTGCTGAGAGGACTTTTTTCAGTTCCACCACACAATATTTGCTTGTTCTACTTATTTTGGCTTCCCTTGCTCCATCCTCCAAAATAACACATACTTTGGCACGACCTATGGGACATGACTTGCTGGTAGCAAACATGATCTTGCAAAAGAACAAAGATAACATGACACCACCTTCACTGGTATGTAAATAGCTCAAATATATTCCTTCACTTTCTTTTATCTTAGCTGATTGCTGATGAAGAGATAACCAATGGTAATCTTTATAGCAAGAGAGCTAACAGTGTTTTTACTATGGTGTTAAATTTTCTTTTGATCTGGTCATGGAAATAGGGCACTTAAATTCCTAAGGACACTTAAATTTCGGGAGATTTGTTCTAAAACTGCAGTATTTCCAGCCTGATTTAGTTTTTATCAATTAAAGCATACTGCTTCACAAACAGAACACACAAAGAAGTACATCTGCTCCTGTATCTAGATCTAGACAGATATTTTCAGTGCTACCTCCTGATTTCTGTTGACTTCAGCTGCCAGCACAATAACAAGCAGTCATATTCTTGTCTTCAGTAGTCACTTCCTTAAAAGAAAAAAAACCCCATGTGTTTTCAGTCCTGTTTTCAGAAACCATTTTGGAATTCGGCAAATCATGCCCCCAATTAAGGAATGGATGCTGGAGTCCTCAGATCCCAGATAGAGAAATATTTGTTTGAATGCTAAAAGTTTCAATAGCTTTCCACATCTGAGGTAGCATATTTTGTAATAACAGGCACCCAAAGTACAGGTCCCTAGAGGAACGAGCCTGGATCTAGCACCAAGCTATGTGCCAGATATCAGACCTCCACCACCCAGCATGGAACAAATTCTCTCCTTTGTGCCAACAAAGGAGGCTACAGCTTCTTACCACCATCCTCAAAGAAGTCAGCAGAATGTCATACAGACTTCAGCTTCCTGCTATGTCATGAAGTACAGATGGATTATGCTCTTGTTTGCCCACAGAACCTCTTTCAGCACAAGTATAGAAGAAGTCTCATACAGCTTTAGGATCTGTCATTAGAGGCTTTTATTGCTCTACCACCACACCCCACATATATTTATAATTTCAAGCATGCAAAGAGACAAAATTAATTCAAAGGATTAGTAAATTTTGCTGATACAAGACCACACTTGCTTTCTTGTGGTCTTACAATGGGAAGATAATTCCACAGAGATGACAGAATTTGACCCTGAGGTCTCACTGTTTATTCCAGTACTAACTGTTCTAACACATAAAAATGCAAGTAATATTGCTTGGTTGAACAAAGTCAGTTATTTGCAAAAATTGGTCTCCTGAAGTTCACAGAGTTAGAGAGTAACTTGTGTTGGAATGGGCAGCTGACATCTGGTCTTAACTTCAGAAACACATCAGAGCCCTTCCCAGCTAAAAACTGCATATCTTTAAATTTGGAGAATCCACAATGTTAGGACTAATTTAATTTTAAACATAAATCCAAATATTGCTAATGTAGAAGTACTGTAGACTAGCCAGCCTTTATCCCACCAAATGAGAATTGGCCCCATATGTGAACGAGCGCCACCAGTTCCTTCATTTTGATTTTCCCATGTCCAGTCCACAAAGCTCTCACTGTTTTCCCTTACTTTTAAACCTCTTGGAGCCAATGCAGAATACCTCTGAAAATCCCAAGGAGTGTTTAGTCAACCATATGAACAGGAAATTCCTAGGATGGTTAACAAAATCATAGCTTCATGCTACGCATTTTTAGTCCAGAAGCATAATTTATACTTTATCTACATTTTATTATATGAGAATATCACTGGGGTATTTTTTGCACCTGGACTCTATTTCCTCACTACTACAGTATTGAACATCACAATAAAAAGAATTTAATACCATATAGTCCAGCTGTCTTGTGAACGGAACAAACAGTCTCAAATTGCATTCTACTCCCAGACCATAAAAAGTACGAAACTAATTTTGTGCTCTTATTTAACTCATTCATCACTTTCCTACCTTTTCTAAAGGCTAGCAATAGCACCCCACAGCAGACAAACAGTGAATTTCTATTAGTGGCACCTTCAGAGAACAAGAGGTTCCTAGAGGGGAACAAATCCTTACAAGGAAGGCTGACTTCTTAGTCACACAGGTAAAATTCCAGTTTAGTGGCTCTGATAAGAAGCCAGTAAGAAGTGGGAGAATAGCGAAGTACCAGATGTGTTGTTGTAAGGAACGGAATTACAGATCAAAGAGGGGAGAAGAGGAATCACTGAACTTCACAGGGCTATGTACAGGAGCCGTTCCTCTTTTGTCTTCCCTCTTTTCTCTTTCATTCTGCCTCACTTCCCTTGGATGTGGTTTATTAACTGTCTGTCCCCGAGGTGCTGACTATCCCCACCCTTACCATGCCCTCCTTTTTCCTTCTTACCCTTCAGCAATCTCTACATCTGTGGGCAGTGAGGGAAGAGGGCAGGGCTGGAGTCAAGGCTTGATTTTAAAAAGAGAAATGTCAGGGAAAGGAAGAAAGTGGGAGGACAGTTTAACAGTTTACCCTTCCTACTGCCTGGAGGGACCATCTGCTATGAAATTATGCTGTGTTAGCTACAGAGGCCAAGCTGCATCTCAGCTGCATCTGCAGGAGGTGAGGGAGAGCCCTTGCCTCCAGCCACAAGCAGACAACCATTGCTCTACTTTTCCTGACATATCTTCTGGTAACTTTCTTTAGCCTGATGTTGCCTCTGTTCCACTGAATTCAAATCAGTCTTGACCTTTGGTGTTGGTCTATGTTCCCAGACAAGGAATTAGCAACCACAGAAGCAAGGGATATTAAAAAAGATAGAGGATATTAAGGAAAATAAAGCCAAAGGTCTAGAAAAGGAAAGAAGATACACCAAGAAGAAAGAAAAATCTAAAGCAGATGAAAGGGACTACTGCACTAGTTTTAAACTACACAGAGAGAATTTTACTTTTGGCTTTCAAAGAACAAAAACAGCCACAGATATCAGTACAAAAGATAATAGAGCCATGAAGATCTCCTTACAGCTGAATCAAAACAGTTTGGAAATGCTTTGGTAAAGAGCAGATGATCATCAGGATAGCATAAAAGAAGGTCCTTGGTGCAATACCTTGCAAGTTCACACTTTTGCCACTCTCACAAAAGCTTGAGGAACAAAGTGAAAACCTTCCATCTTAGTTTATCTGAGAGCAGAAATTAACATGAGATCATCTTGTATTACTTTTATCAGGTCATTAATTTCTCCTTGGTTGTGAAAAGCTTCCTAATTTGAGCCATGCAAAGGATGTCAGGTCTCAAGAGATTTAGATCCTTCGTGCAACAGACAGGGAATGTGAGAGATGGAAAGATGCAATAGCAAAGGCATTGATGAGACATGTTCAAGGGATGCTTATGACACTACAGCTTAGCCAAAGGGGAAATTCCACTCCAAGTCCTCATTTTTGGGGTTTCCCTCTTCCAGGACAAAGCATTACTGCTGCTGTATGTGCACTTAACCAGGTAGTTCAGATCAGTTCCAAGGTTAGCTTAAAAAGCATGAAACTATGAAGGGACAGCAAGTGCCAAGCAGATCGGTGAATACCAAAGATTTTCAGTACACCTCCTCAAGTGAATATTGGGAAAATTATCCTGATGAAACTCCTGAAAACACCAACTGCCTTGGGAAACTCCTGGTCATTCCATC